GTTGATTAATGCTTCTGCTCTCAAGCTGGATATTGCAAGTAAAAAACAATTAGACCTCTAAATTTGCATATTTTCTATCATAACAAGCTCTCTCCCATATTCAAGTTCCCCTCTCCCACTCCTTCATCTTTGGTGGCTTCACTTACACAAATCTAGTTGCTGACAGGTACAACCATCTGATACCTGCCATACGTGACAACTCAATCAATCTGCATACCTGCTATGCAACTTACACTGGAAATGACTCAAGGTCTAAAATGCTGAAAAAAATCAAACAAAAGTCTCTTTTATAAAGAATGCTTTGCCGCAGTAGAACTACTTTTTTAAATTGCTCTCATTTCACACAACTAATTTATGATCACAATAAATACAATTGCTTCAAAATCTTCTGACTTAAAGACAGCAAATACATTCTTGTCAGCCAGTCAGAATAAAATAGAGCTAACCAAATGAAATGGAATCCAGACTGACAACTTTCCCAGCCAGAGTGAGAGCATCACAGGCAGACGGGAATACAAAACTTGGCAAAAGGAAAAAAAATCTGCAGCCAAGTTCTACTAAATAATGAATACAAAGATGACAGAGAAAAGAGCTGTATAGTTATTAAGTTGCTATGATATACATTTTTAAGGTGCTTCATGAATAGCTTCTAAATAAGGGGCAACACTCATCTGCTCTGCTGGTGGTCCTGCTTTGCAGCCACCTTGTTCAGAAGCCCTGCCAGTCTACTCAGATTGCACTGGGATGCTGTCGTGTACCTGGTGTGAGAAATCAGGACTCACATGATAATTGGTCTTGTGTAGTAGCCATCACTTTATATTCACTGGATACTTGGCCCAAATATGAGAACATAGTGAAAAAAACCAGGCTTGTCTCCCCAGTACCATCTCCTACGATCAGTTGGAGCATTTTTGAAGTTGCTTTTACCAGTTCATATTTCACTGACCATCCTGAAGATGGTTAATAGTTTTACTATTCTTTAAACATAAATAGTCATGTCTCAGTTTCCCCAGTGGTATATTCTGAAAAAGCTTACAGAAGCTGAAAGTCATAGTCTGGCAGCATGCCAGCCCAGGTCCTTAACCAGCCACTCCCCGAAAACTCTCTCTCTCCATTCCTTCTTTCTGTTCCCACACCTTCCCTTTCAGTGTTTGCCAGTACAGCTATTTGTAGGGCAATGATGAGAACTGGATATAACTGAATTGATTCAGGTTTAAAACGACTCCTAAAGATATATTTGGGATACTTTGGGCAAGGCGGGGGGGCAGGGTTTAAAGGTTACTTTTAACTGCATTTCCTCTCAGATCAATTTGCAGCACAGCCTAGGAAACAGATGCACCAGCTCAGCTGGACAGGGTTGGGCTTAAGGTAGATTGAAGGACTGAACCCTTTCCACTATTCCATTACAAAGCGTTCAGTTTCGTACCACTACTGCTTACTTAGGTAGCACAGATTTGAGCTAACCAACTTCAAATTATTTTCCTTTCTCCCTTGGCTCCATTTTACACTTTTGCCCTCCAATGCACTAAAAAAGACCATAACCTTTTCCTCAACTGACCTTTTTGATGTCTTTTTTTTCCTCTTTCTCCTGAAGTTGCCCTCTTCCAATATTGAATTGGGAAAACACAAAGCACAAATTCCAGAACTGGTATATAAACACAGTTCTTTCTGATTGCCGAGACATTCTCTGAGGAGAAAGGGCTTTGTTTGGTGGGAGGTTTTTGGTTCAGTTTAAACTGTACTCCAGCTTTTTTTAATGTTCAAGTCAGTTAGGGAACAGGATGACTCTCCTGTAAATGGTTACTTTGGTCTTATCAATTAGCAGTGCAGAATGTCTTTTCAAGAAAGAAAAAGTGTATGCAATACATTCAAAAACAAAACAAAACAAAAATAAACAAAAAAACGCAACGAAACCCAACCTTTAACGCAAGTTTATGCTTTGATTCTGTATAATGCAAAAATTAATCTTAGCTATATACTTTGGGTTTTGATTATTTTAAATACAAAATAAAAAAAAATTACTTGTCTTTATCAACATATATACAGAAAGAACAAAATCAAACCAAAAGCTTTTAGTAAAAAAACTTAGTTCTGTTCTTATTAATGATTTCAAAAGAGAGAGGTTATCACTTTAAATTGTCCATCTTACATAGCAATCATCCTCAATTCTTTGAAAATAAATTTAAATATAATTGCAAATCAAAAGAACAGCATCTAAACCTGCCTTCATAGTCAGGATTTGTCACATATTGGTCAGACAGGCTACAATCAAAATCCAAATTTCTCAACTCCAAGTGAATTGATCATTCTCAGGCTACCCAGAAAACGACTAAATAGCATCCTCCATAAGCAATTTTAGTCTTCAGATGGAGCAGGCCAGAGACTCACTAACTTGAACATTCTCTAAACAGTATTTTATGTGAAAAGGTAAAACTCAAAAGTCCAAAGGAAATATAAATACAGTAAAAAAGTGCAAAGTGCTTCAGAAAATACTGTCTGATAAGGAGGCAAGGCACTAGAATAATTATTTTCAGTATCTTTGTTAGGTAAATCGTAATGGTTCTGTTGCCCTTAAGCATTTTTTTCATACCATGAGAAGCTCTCTAGAAGACTGATATATTTGCTTTAATTTGCTTTTAAAGTGCTACCTTTGTTCCTCTTTGATACACCTGTCTGTATTTTTTTTTTTTAATTGACAATTATTACCTTTACAAAAGGCTTGTTTTCACTCCTTTATTGCCCAGGGAGTGCTTGCGAACAGGAAACTGTGACGTTAAAGGTAAGGGCCATGGAAAGTTGGAGTACAAAAGAGTATGCAGACAAGTACTCAAAAAGAAATGCTTCTCCTAACAGGCTAGGTCAATGAAGACATTCCTGACATCCCAGGCCCTGCAGGACACTATGTTCTTACAAAGATCTATACAATTTGTGAATGATTTTAGTAAAACTTCGGTAAAAAAGAAGCCTTACTGGAGATATTTTGTAACTGAAGCTCCCAGATGATCTCCTCAGTAATGTAACAATCAGAGGCAGAAAATGAATGAACAGAGGCTTCCCTGGTACTGAGGTAAAACTCAGGGCAGCAGCGCTCAGCCTGAAGAGATGTGCAAGAAGTAGGTAGCCTACTAATTTAGTGAATTAGGAAATGCATTTCTGGCAGATGAAGCAAAACATTCATACCTTTGTTCACTGTAGTCTCTCGCCATTAAATTGCCTCTAGCTAAAATCCAATCTCCAAATAGGTTTATAATCTACCAAGCACAGAATTGTTATTCCTATCATTACAGATGGAAAAACAAATTTCCACAGACACCAATTTGCTGTCCAAGGCAATTCTGATGCTGGGTAGAAAAAAAACCTCACAAGCTGTGTGTCCAAGTTTACAGCTCCTCACCTAGGAAGAGAGGCCTTATGTTCAAAAAGTGAGGATGTGGAAGCTTGGATTTCACCTATGTTACTTAAGTCTCTTCTTGTGCCAATTTTACCCTGGCCCTGAAGCAGAAAAAGAGGAAAAAGGGGAGAAATAGCTTTTCCCCATGAAAAGCTCAACAGAAATGTCTGCAAAGGTTTTGGTTTTGAGCAATGACTGTTCAGTAATAAAAAACTTCTTAGGTATTCACAATTTTCTGTGTCATCATATAAATGCTTTTATAGGACAAGCTAACACTTGACTTATTAATTAAACTCCATGAAGCAATCATCCTTTCAGTATAAAGCCTGCTGTTACAGATGCACTTTAAGAAAAACAAAACAAAAAAATTAATTAATTTACTGTTTGTCTCTGTTCATCATTAGGTGCACTATGTACCATACAGTATTTGGCTACTGACATTCAACAGAGGTCTTGCCCACTCCAATATTCATAAGTAAAAAAGCAATATATGTATATAAATATATAGGAAATTATTCTTTCCTTTTCAATTTTGTCAGAAAAGAGCATGATAACTAAGTCAATACATCACAGCAATTTAAGAGGAAACTACCAGTGACTAGAGGTGGGGTTCTTTTTCACTCTTCTGTTTTCCTTTTATACCACAGCTATATAGTCTATATGAACAGAACTCATCATTCTTTTATCAAAATCTACCATTTCTTGTCAATTCATTTGGATGAGAAATCAAAATTTTAAAATCAAGGTTTTTGAGACAGATTGCAAAGCTGTAATTTGTTTTATTGCTTTTCTCATTTATGTCTCACTGAAAAAATGTGATATGTCCATATGAAACATTTTCCTTTTGTTAAGTCAGTATTTTTTTGACTTACTTATTTTCACTAAAAAGAAAATTACATATACTCAGCTCTGTACAGCAAATGATGTAACAGAGTCTTGATTTCAGACGGAGTTTCTGAGTACCACTAAAATACATGCAGTCTAAGGAAAGGGAAGCTAGGGGGTTTTGGTGAGCTCTTTTGTTTCCTTATTTTATTTGCTTGTTCTTGGATAAGAAGTTTAAAAATGAGAAATAGTTGTTTTGTTAAGGCACTATTACATTAAGCCGTAGCTCCTACTAGGGGAAGAAAACAATCCACGCCAAAGGAACGCACCCAGGTCTTATGCATCTCTGTTAAATTAGAACAATAAGAGCTTTATCTTTGCCTCAGGGAGCCTGAGGGTGATATCAGCCACCACACTTGCACGCCTGACCAAACTAAGCTGAGTTTGCAAGATACAAGACGATAAAAGCATGAATGAATTCTTTACAAAAGGCAGTCAGATATCCAGTGCTCAACTCAGATATTCAATGCTTGTCGGTAAACAGAATGAGGGAACTGCTGCAACTAAGGAAAGTAATTGGAAAAAAACCCATCCCCAGTGTCAAATAATAGCAGTGGGTAATAATACATTGTTTAAACAAAATGTAAAAACCCAATACTAAAGCTGTTCAAGTGTTCTTTAAGCATTAGACATCTGTGCTTATTTTTGGGACTTGAAAACTCATTTAACACCTGTTTAACAGTGATTGGTGGCTTACAAATAGCATACAGCAATAACAACTCACCTGGCATAAAGTAGAAATGATCTGATGCATTTTCAGTCGATGAAATACAAAGACATCGTACACGGCTGAAATGGCCAGAACAGTCACTCCTTGCTCCTTCCACAGCATGCTGCATCCTGCACACAGCCCTGCTCCCAAGATCCAGCCCCAAGTACTTGGTGAGGAACCTCTGGTAGAGCAATGCTTCACGTAACACATCAGGGAAAGGAGAAAGAAGAGGCAGGCTCCAATGTCTGCCCTCCCTACAATCCCCGCTACGGCCTCCGTGTGGATGGGATGAGATGCAAACAGCAGGCCTGCTATCAAGGTCCAGTACCCATCTCCAAACAGAATCCTGGAGAAGTTTGTGAAAAGGCCTGTGACTGCAGCATGTAATAGGACATTTACAAGGTGGTAGCCCCATGGGTCCATTCCCCCAACAGCATGGTTAATGCGGAAGGAAAGTGTGCAGAGAGGTCTGTAGGACTTGTGGCTCCCGCTGTGAGTAAGCAGTGTCCCCCAAAAGTCATTGTAGAAGATTTGGATCCACGGCGTCTCAGGCAGAAGGTCCTGGTTTGTCTTGATAGCTCGACTACAAAAGACAAATAAAAGTTTCATTTTAACAGAAGGAAAAGGATACAAAAGAAAGTATGAGAAAATACAATCACACCGCTACCACAAGAAAGAATGGCATTGCTTTGGTGCTGCTTTAATTTAAGTTTGAATTTTTACAGGAGGTGTTAAAAACTACATATCTATTGACTTCCTGCTAGAGTAAAATTTCCATATAAATTGGCTTTTAAAACATTAGAAACAGATGTTACACTGTTTCCATTAAATTAAAACACCCTTCAGTGACATTCTTCTGAGTCTAACCCAGGAGTAATCAGTTAAGATTTGATGAGTTATAATTAAAATGTGAAAGAAATATGAAAAACTTGCAAACATTATTGTTGAAACAATGGATCCTCCAGTAATTCAGAACTAAAACCCAAAGTAGCCTTTTATGCTGAAATTTTAATTTAGATTTTGGAATGAATCTCTCTGACTCGGATGAACAATAACTACAGAAGTCGGTAGGAGCATGTAATTTTCCGCTTCTGTATAAGGCACACCCAAAACTGTCTTGTATATATTTTGACTGACAACATTTTCTGCTAACACCTTACTGGAGCTAGACAATAGAATATTTTACTGATGAAAATATACCTTCTATTTAAATTTCTTCTATTTACAATAGAGGATGAAAAAAACATGTTTTTATGTTGTATTAGCTTATAAATTCAAGTCTGTCAGCTTGATTAGAAAAAAAAAATTGCTGAAGCTTTCAGCATTTATGCTTTCAACCACCCTGGAAGGAGTGGTGCCAGCCATTAGCAGTCTCCATGTCTAATTCGTTACTGTAAAAATCTGTCTACTACAGTGTTTGTACAAATCCAAAGATTTGCATTTAAAATTTATGCAGTGGGAGAAGGTGTGAGACCTGCTTAGTGCAAAAAGATGAGTAGAATTTAATTAGTTACTTGTATTTAAGCAATTATTCAAAGATGCATTGTTGTTACTACTGAGCTTAACTCATTTAGCATTTATTTTATTAGAGTAATTAAGAATCCAGCCAGCTCGAGACTCTTCTATTCAACATACTAAACAAGAGAGATGATTTATATCTAATTCTTTACTCATACCCTCTATCTGCCTTTCCAACATTATAATTAATAATTTTTCAATTCAGATGAGGGAGGGGGAAAACAGTGTGAAATGCAAGCCCACATTTAAAATGCATGACTAATTCATATTCTAAGACTCCCCTCACATTCTGCATTTCCTTGGAACCTGTATCCAAATCCCTTTTTCTTTTACGGTATGCGTTTCAGAAATGTTGTTCTTGTTCTGGAAAGAAAATGCTCAAACACTGATATACTATGCCACAGAATCTCCATGCAAATACTCCAAATACCACACAGCTCAGCATTTCCATTGTCCAGAGCATACTGCTGTAATGCTTTCAGACACGCTTTCTCTCAGCATGTCCCTTTGTCTCTGAGCATATAGAGGTCATGGAGAGGTCAGCTTAAACCCTTTAAAGATCTGATGGTGCTTTCTAGAATATTTGAAAATTTTCATTTTGTCTTCTGCTTATGCAGTGGATCGGGTTGCTTGCATGTGTTTTCCCAACCCCATACACATTTTTCTCATTTTAGTCCAGTCACAAAAGAACAGTGGAAGAAAAGTAGATCTTTGTCTTCACATTATTTATCTTGTCCTTCTGTGTAGTCCTTTCCTGAAACCTAATTCCTCTGTTTGCGATTTCAGTTTGTAGTATCACTCTCAGAACCACTATCAGAAAACTAGGAATTCAGCAAGAGTAAAAAGCAGGTGTTAGGCAAGACAGAGTCCATTTTCTGAGAAAAATACACTATATTTAGACTACAGGCTCCCAAAGCTAAGAATGGCTATCAGATGTGAGGAGTTAAGAGTTGAAATCTTGAACAGTGAAAGTGTTTTTTCTTGGGGAAATAATAAGAAAATAAGTGGCAACAATATTGCCAGAACAACCACCCTCCCCCGAGGCAGTGCATTCGAGCCTAGACAATACACAGGTTGTTCCCACAAAATGGTAGCTTTTGTTATATCTTTTGCAAATATGGCCATTTCCAACACTTGAAGTCATGTAATCGCTATTAAAAAAAATGCCCAAAAAACAAACAGAACTGTGGCTACCAGTACACATGTATAAAACAACTCCATAAAACTCTGCTACGCTTCTGAAGGAACCAGCCCTCTCTCTAAGCCGACAGTTTTCATGCAGCACACACACACATACTGGACTATTCCCCACGAAAAGTAAACTGCTTTTCTCCATATCATAAAGAAATCTATTGCACATTCCAAGGCATTAATTCAGTCAAATTTTATTCATAGCCTTAGAGACAAATCTGAGGCAAACTTGATCCTTTCCTGTTTAGATCTGTCCATATTAAAAATTAAAACAAAGAAACAAACAAGGGGAAAACCCATACACAATAAAAACAAACAAACAAACCAAACCAAACAACAAAAACAAACAAACAAACAAACAAAAAATAAAGCCCTGAAGATACAGTACTGATCACCCTATATTTCAGTATGGATTTCAGCAGATAATTCTGAAATACTCCTAGTTTCTTGAGCATGTAAATGTAACACATTCTAGAATCTGCCAGTCAGCATGAAACATATAGAAGTTGACAGTTCCAGTTTACTCAGTTGTTTAGTCAGGTCAAATGCTGTATTTTCGAGAAATCAGGATTTTAAATAAAGTTAAAATTTCTTTTCATATGGTTACTTTTTAATTAAATATTTATAAGGAAAAAAAGTCTTGCTCATTCTTTGGGATATTAGAAAAGTCTAATACAAGAGGAAAGCACTGCACACAGTCCCGGGACCTCACGTCAGCTACCCCTACACTGCCCAGGGCCCAGGACCCCATGTCAATCTCCAGGGCCATCAGCCTTTGCCCCAGTGACACCTCGGGCCAGTTTTAAGCTCCCCAGGCCTTATCCTACCAATGGTCTCCCTGAGCTGGGTCCATATCCCAGCCTGGCCTTGTTCCCAGGGAGGTGCCCAATGCCTGGGGCTAGGGCTGCCCCAGCTCCTAGCTGGGGCAAGGCTCTGTTTTTTCTTTAGTTACCAAATAACCAAGCTGCTAACTCTGCTTAGATACCAATTTCAGCAGTAATTCTGCAAGCAATCACTCTCCCAGCCTGGTAGATAGTGCCAAGCATGACCCCAGGAACGCATACCATGTTAGCAGCGACACTCACTTTCTGCAGATAGAAAAAATTAATTGCTGGTTCTGTGAAAGACTCTGGAATAAAAGAAACTACAAAACGCCTTATTAGCCTTGCCTGCTGCTTCACTCACAGTTTACCTGAAGGTTACGTTCCTGCAGATTAGTCCAATCTTGCTAATGGACATAATAAGGGCAGTTCTCCAAATGCACTCATCACTCCTGAGCAGAACTGCAAACTCTGCTCTCGCTAAAAGGCAGCAGGTCACCCAAGAAAGTAATTTCTCAAAATTCCAACACAATTGGCATTTTTACTTCCAAGTAGCCTCTGATAAGGGCTGCAGACTCAGTCAGGGAGCTTGCTTTCTTCAATTTGCGATGCCTGCCCATTTCACACATCCCAGGAGAGAAGGATATCTTATTCAATATACAACAAATGGATGCGCTGAGGGTGGGAGGGGAAGAAATTGGAGTCAGCTATCAATTCTTCAGAAATGGAAAGGTGAAGAAAGACAAAAAACTGTGAACGTAAAAATCATAATTTCTAACCCACTCGAAAGAATCCTTCTGCCTCCTGCCATAATCCACTTCTTTGCCCAGGTCAATACACACCTTGAGCACAATCACTGAGCTTTTTTCTCATCAAACTTAAAAATGCCAGAGATCCAGCCATTCACTCATGCACATTTAGATGCATACACAGACAAAAAAAAAAAAAATCCCAGATGTTTTTACAATTAACAGCTATATACGTCCTAAACTTCTGCACTGGTGCTAAACTGATCCAGGTGTTAACACTAGGGTAAAGAAACAGATGCGACATTCTAAAGTGATTTAACAAGTTAAGCCTTATATCCAGCTTCAGTATTGCTAATGGTCCCCATATGCTGAAAATTAACGTCAGCATTTGAAGTAGACAACATATTTTAAAGGAAAAAGAGAAATCCCAAACGTGTACACAGGAAGCCATTGACCAGACCTCTCTCACATAAAATAGATAGGCAGTGATGGACTGGCAAGTCTCTACTTGTAGGTTCTTCGTTGTTTTTCATCAAAGAAATTTTTAAACAGCATTGATTCAGCCCTTTTTCATTAACAGGAATGGGAAAGCACCCTAGAGTATTTTAACAGTGGATCTTAATGAGATACCCTAAGTATGCTTTGCAGACTGTGTGTCACTTGTATAGACAACAAGACTGAAAACACAGAGAGCACCTACGTTTTTGAGTACAAGCATCCCCAAAGCATGCAGCAGCTGAGTCAATCCAAGCTATGTACAGGCTATCTGTTAGGCACATGGTGGTCAGAAAGCGTGGAAGTAGAACATGTCATAGTTTGGACAGTTCTTACACTTGCCTGTAGACTATAATATATATGTAGTCTGTACTGACAGGATAAATTAAAAATCAGAAAATACTTTTTAGTACGTAGAGATGTCTTGAGAAAGTAAGAAGCTTAAGAAATGAAAACACATTCATGTAAATGTTTAATTATAGACTTAAGGGAACTATTTGCCATTCTGGTAGAATTCTGGTGGCAATTATGTCTTATATCTTGTGTATTAAAGTCCATCCTTTCTCAATAGGTGTGAAAGTGAGATTTAGCTACAAATCCAGCAGGCAGTAAAGTTTGACGAATGCCAAAAAAAAAAAAAAAAAAAAAAAAAAAAAAAAAAAAAAAAAAAAAAAAAAAAAAAAAAAAAAAAAAAAAAAAAAAAAAAAAAAAAAGCCCAGAAAACAAAAACACAAAACAAAACAAAAACTCAACAAATAAACAAACAAAAAACCAAAGCAACACAAACTCCTATATTGTGTATTAACATT